CCCTGAACCCCGCGGCTCTGCCCCATGGCTGGGGTGAGGGGGGGGTCCCTCCCGGCTCTCACCGCTTCTGGGGCCCGTTTGCAGGAGCCAGAGGCCTCGTTACCGCGATGCCTCGTACTTTGCTGGGGAAGGTTTGGGTTTGGGGACTCTCTTTGGCTTTGGTGGCCACTAGAGGTCACGGCAGACTTTTGGATGGAGCCAGACCCCAAAAGCCCCTTTGCAGGGAGCGCGGGTTTGCGCCAGCATGCCCGGGGGGGCTGGATGTTGAGGGATGGCTGGGTTGGGCTGCACCCGGGGGGGACGTGCAAGGGACAGGGGTGCTGAGCTCGTGTCTGTGTGTCGTCCACTCTCTTTGGCTTTGGTGGCCACTAGAGGTCACGGCAGACTTTTGGATGGAGCCAGACCCCAAAAGCCCCTTTGCAGGGAGCGCGGGTTTGCGCCAGCATGCCCGGGGGGGCTGGATGTTGAGGGATGGCTGGGTTGGGCTGCACCCGGGGGGGACGTGCAAGGGACAGGGGTGCTGAGCTCGTGTCTGTGTGTCGTCCACCCCCCCTTTTCCCCACAGCTCACAAACAAGCCTGGAAAAACAAAACCCCCCAGCAGCAAGTGCAGCATGAGATCTGGCTGTGCCCGGCCTCGAAGGCAGATGCCCATGGCCAGCCCCGGCCCGCGATGCTGGTCAGCCGCTCGCAGAGCCCCCTGCCCCCCGTTGCCTGGGGGTCCCGTGTCCCCCCGAGCCTCCGGCCACCAGCCACCCCCTCACCAGAGGGCTCGGGTCACCCACTGGGTGCCAGCCCTCGCCAGGAGCCAGCACAGCCCCGGAGGGTCCCTGTGGGCAGGTAAGTGGTGCGGAGATGCTTCGTGCCCCGAACTGCCTGGTTTCAGAGCAGTTTTTCTCACATTCCTGAATTTTTTTTTCCTTCCCATCCAGCAGTGCCCAGCACCAGCCTGGATGGAGGGGGGAAGCAGCAGCTCCCCCCAGCCCCTCTCCCCTCTCTCTTTGCAGGACACGGGAGCCACCAGCTGCCCCTTCGGGGAGGCAGCCGCTGCCATCCAGGTCACCCGCTCGACTCAGCTCCCCTGGCCACAGGGCGACGGGCCGGGCACCCACTCCTTCCCAGCTGGCCCCTGGCACACAGGACAGCATGGGGGTCCCCAAGGTGCTGCGTGGGAGCACCCCAGGGAAAACCCCTGTGGCACTGGCATGGGGCAGATCCACAGCACCCACCACCCGGCTGACACCAGCACCCCCAAAAAGCACCCAGCAAGGAGGCAAATCATCTGTGGCAGCTGCCAGGCTGCAGGAGGGGGGGG